GAATATCAGTATGTGGCAAATATTAAACTTGTTATAGAATATTAATCTTGAGACTTTGAATTCGCTTAATAATTTTTTTTTTAAATAGAATTAGACTACTAATAAATTTGAAATATCTGATTTTTAAACTGCCGGATACCCTTGTGCCTTATACACTATCTGTAAGACAAAATGCCATTAATATATGTACATTTATTAAAGAATTAGAATTTATTTATTGTTATATGCTCACCATCTGGATGTTCAATAATGAACCGTTAATTTTTGCATGGGCAATCCAATAGAGGGTATGTATTATAATTATGCAAAATCAAGAAAATAATCACGACCGAGAGTTGTAAATAATAATTATACGTACCATAGTTATCTGACATATCGGGTACATATAAATAAGTAATGATTTCGTAATTGGAATTATCGAATTCAGTTTCCTGATTAAAACTATTGCCTAATTGCAGAAAAAACGTTAATTAAAACATAAAAATTTGCAATATACTAAAAAAAAACTACTATGAATGTTTGTAATAAAATATGTACCAGGACTTCCATATAAAAATTCATTACTCCAATTATATGAATATGTTCCATCAATGAACTCATCATTATAATAAGTATATTCTGGTTCCTGATAATATTGCACTATCCCTGGAGAACCGGGTGATGTATTAGGTTCAAGAGGTTTTAAAGGCGTTGTTTCTTGATGTCTATATTCAGATTGGGATTCGATGGACTCTATTTTGGAGAGTCGTTCTTTGCGTTTTGGTTTCTTTAGTTTCATACGAATAGTTTTTGATGTTTCGTTTCTAAATATATCATTCTTCTCATATTGCCTGCGGCTTTGTTTTTTATATTTATTACTATTCTTTCTAATAATTGTTTTACTAATTGTACCTGGTGTTTCGTTTTTAAATTTGTTAATCTGTGATATAGTACTTAGGTTTTCTCCATTTTGAACGGGTTGAATTACTGAATCCATGACTAATTAAAAAATAAGAACAAAACATTTTGTATTAGTGGAGCGAAATAATGTTAAAAACATGCAAGTACTCTAATATACAAAGCCCTAAATATAATTAAACTTGAATATACGAAACCTTAGATAATTGATAAACTCTCAATAAAACTAATTATTGAAATAAGAAAGCTATTATTTCTTAAAAAAAAAATTATGTGTTTGCTAATGCGGTTGTCTTAACTGCCCCCAATTTCTTTTTCCTTGGCAGGTAAATAAAATTGTATTGTGGACCATTACCTTTCTTATATCAATAATTTCTTTAAAAAGTTATTTACAAAGAAATAATTTTATTTACCAGTTATCATCCATTAAATTTTACTATTTAGGTTAGTATGCAAAAAATTAAGGGTTTTTTTTTTTTTTTTTTTTGAGAAAGGTAATTCCTGATAAGTAATTATCAAAACTTTAAAACTTTTAATAATATCTGATCGATAACATTCACAGTTTAAATTTTTGCATTAAAATTTTTAATCAAATTTACAAAGCTTACCCATTATAGTATTTTACCAAAGTATCTTCTTTCGAGTAATATACTGATGATTTCCTTAATTATAGTTATCGCTTAACTCTATTTTCAAGCGCGTAATTATTGAAAATATATTATTAGACATTTCGGAAATTTGTCTAACAATAAACAAACTTGAAAATTCCCATATTTTATTACATGATGTAATTTAATAACTATAATTGGAAATTCCTAAATGGTAACACTCGAATTATATTATGGCATGATCCTGCTAAAAAAAAAATTCTTTGCTTCGATAATCTAAATTCTTCTATAATGTCGTACTGATTATTACGATTCACTTCATACACATTACCTTACAAAGTTTTATT